CCCCCCCCCCCCAACAAAAACCCTCTTGGGGGGTTTTTAACCCTTCTTTTTACTCTATTTAAAAGAAAAATATGATGTTTGCTTACGTTGCAGTCTTCATATCCTGCTCTTGTGCTTCAGCTCTCTCTTTCTTTCTTTCAGGTCGGGGATTTTGCCATCCTCCTCCGTGCTGGTTTTGATCGTTGGAGTGCTGCTAAGATGCAGCTGATGACAGCAATGGGGGGGATCCTGGGGGCTGGCTTTGCAGTTTGCGCTCAGTCACCCAAAGGGGCAGGTAAGGGGATGCATAGATCAGTAGGTGATTGGTGACAGGAAGCTTGTATCATCCCACACTTCTAACTTTCAATATTGTTTTAGGGGAAGCAGTAGCTTGGATATTACCATTTACTTCTGGGGGATTTCTCTACATTGCATTGGTTAACGTATTACCAGATCTCCTAACGGAAACCAGTGTGCGGTATGTAATGTCTTTATATATTTTTATATACTATATTGGATGCTTTGCAAATTGGTCATGACTCGTGTGCCTGTTTAAAGTAGTTCCCCCCTTCATTGGGGTTTATAAAACTTTTTCTCTTTCATTTGAATACCTTATTTTAGACCCAGTGATGCCATTACTGGTTCTTTGTACTTCTCTTTGCAGTTCAGGTACATCATGGCTGGTGGGAGGGACCTACAGGGTGCTGTACACAGCTTCCTGTAAACATCACAATACCATGCGTTAGTACTCCTCTCAAGAGCCCTCAGCTCTGATGTAATCATTGGGCTGGATCTTGGAGGGAATTGATGTAAATATCAAAATGCCTTGGTGGATGGATGTCTGCATGGGTGTTCTATGCAGACTGCATTTGCATGCAGGCTTCCCTAGGTAGCGCCCACGTGAAGCTGAACCTCCATAATTGGAAGAACTGAAATCCAATGAATTTGGGGAACTGGCTGGTGAGGAAAGTGCTCGTCCAGCCAGAAAATGAGGCATGGGCTCTGTGACTTGACTTTTGTCAGTCCACATGGCTCTAGCAATCACTAAGGCGTAACGGGTTTAAAAAATTCAGCAACACCGTGTGACGTCCCCTTTTTCTTCTGCTCATCATTGCTGGCAGGTCTAAGGGCCTGTTCACATGAGATCAGGTCCTGATCAGCAGACGTGGAGCTGCTGATGCATTGCGTTTTTGGATGTGTTCCAGCAAAAAAAAAAATTTTTTTTGCTGGAGTGGGGCTGTTAGTATGTTAGCTGCAGTGCGTTTTTTATGCGTTTTTGACGCGTTTGCGTATCCGTTCCGTTTCCGGACCTGACATGTGACATGCAGTATTTTTTCTGTCGTAAGCTGAACGGACTGCGCACGTGAGAACTGGAGCCCATAAAACACATAGGGATACATTGGGATGCATTTTGTACTTTATGATCGCTATGCAGCAACATGCTAGTTGCCTGGCTGTTACACTGACCCTCTAGCATCAGTGACTCCAAATATTGAAGCAAAAGGGTCACCATGACAGCAGTGTCAGCCATGATTTTTTTTTTTCTTGACACCCAGACAACTAACAATGCAAAATCAGACGTTAGAAATATAATTGTCAAAAAAAGTTTCCCTTCTACTTCTTTTGTGTTCTTGGGCATGTTGGAGGGAGTCCTATACTGACAACTAATTATTGTGGATGTCCAGTCTGCTAGGGGAACATGTGTTCATATTCAGGATGTCAGCAGGAACAACATGGATTTACTGCAATGTATAATTGGGGATTTTTGTCTCAGTTTACATCCCATTGTATTGGGGTCAGCTATCTGTTTGCCTTGCAGAGCGCACAAAAATGTTTTAAAACAGTAAGTTTAAAGTAGAATTAAGACCTCCCATTCTCTATCAGTCCTTCTGCAAAGCCTCACAAATATCTGTTGAGTCTGCCAGAGAAGGCCGCTTAATGTCGGCTCCTATGGTGGCAACAATGTTGCACTGCTCTGAATCCAGAGCAGAGTTGTCACTCATGTAGACTGGGGCTGCTTGCACTATACTTAGCAGAGAGAGTATTGCAAATGACATGCCAGTCAGCAATTTCACTGCTGACTCGCAAGCCTTTAGTTTGGTAATGCTGACTGACAGTTTTGACTGTGTCTTAGAAGCCTTTAGATCTTCTTTTACGCACAGAGACAGCAGCTTTTTGTCTCTGCACCATTTTAAAATGCCGCTAGGAAACAGAGGCTCTGGAGGGTCCAAGTGTGGTGGGAACCTGTAGTACAGAGGCTTCGCCAAAAAAAAAGTACTGAAGAATATGTAGGGTGGGTACATAGGAGATTTTATAGAGAGACTCTTTGCTTCCTTCATTGGCTGTTATGAGCCTGTTCACACCTACAAAATGCACCATAAGTGTTATGCAATCCACCAGTGTGGTGTGGTGCGTTGTTGCAATTCATTGCACGGTTTACTTTTCTCTTTAAAAAAAAAACTTTATTAAAATGTCACAACCGAAATTCAATTCTATGCGCAACTGCAAATTGCAATGTGTTCTAAAGTATTGTGTTTTTATGCAACACACAACACACCAGCTGTATGGTGTTAAAGGAGAACTATGGGGTTAAGGCTTTTCCCCATAGTTCTCCTTAGGGTAACGGGAGCACACAAACTAGCGTCCTCCCGTCACCCTACGCTCAGTATACCGCGAGCTACTGCTCGCAGTATACTGAGACGCCGCAGCTGAAGCGGATCCCGACAATTGTGCCGGGATCCGCCCAGCTATGTGTTCGCTCACCTCCCGATCTACTGAGCCGACCTGTGACAGTCTCATTGTCACAGGTCGGCTAGAACTATGAGGTGAGTGAAAAGCACTCGCCTCATAGTTCTCCTTTAACAGGGCACATAGTGACTGGTTGGGACAAACTATAACCGGCCCCGGGTGCTTATAACGGTGATATACCATTCACATGGTTTAAATCTTGGAAAACATTTTTTAAATACATCTACAGTTGCTCGGGCACTCCTGGCTGTGCTGTAGTTTGTCCTGACCCGTGTCACTGTCACTTCTGCTGGTTGGCTTGGCATGCCTGGTATATCTGGATAGGAATTTTAAATCCAAGTTCTGATTATCGCACACCGTTATCAGAATACAGCAGTTTATATAGTCACGTTCGTGGTCCCTTTTTATACTTTCTGCTTTGTTCATACTGCTGGGCTGAATCCACTGAGTGACAGCGCCATGTGTGTGCGAACACTGAAAACAATGACAATGAATCGCAGGAAACAATGTCCAATAATGAGGTCAGATGAGGATGAACGTTGTCCTCACTGGGATTTGAGTAAAGATTAGGAGAGCGGGTTTTTACAGCAAGTGGAGAATAAAATTCAGTATAGACATATAGAAGGTTTACACTTTCTGTTCTAGCTTGTGTAACACCTGCACAGGCGGCACGGAAAGGAGGGGGAAGTCAGATATTTACATACCGTAGTTATTTATTTAATGAGTTATTTAGTAATAAACCAACTCCAGCAACAACAAACATTTAGATTTGCATAGAGTGTGGAAGGGTTAGAACCTTTGCAAGGTTTTAAATGCTGCCCGTGTCTCCTATTCCTCCTCACTTCCTGCCCCGATGACAGGTTGCCGCTGGGATAGGAAGTGATGGGGTATCTTTCCAATGGGGACAGAGACAGCAACAAAAAATGCTTAATTTAGTAGTGCGGGAAATAGTTGGAACATCTATCAGAATTGTATCGCTGTCCCATTGAGACCTGATGTCCTCGTCCTACTGTCCCCCCCTAGTGTATCCCACCTCAACCTAACCACTGAACTATCACATTCTCAAACAATTCATCCCCACACAACTACCTCCTCCTGTATCACTGGCCCCTCCCTTTTAGATTGTAAGCCCTCAGGGGCAGGGCCCTCCTTACCATCTTGTATTGTAATTGTAATGTCTTCCTTATATTGTAAAGCGCTGCGCAAACTGTTGGCTCTATATATATATCCTATATACTAATAATAAAAAAGATTCTAGCCCAGCTATCATTCTGACCCCTTTGATTCAATATTTCAAGTTGTGACTTGCAACTCTACGCAGATGAGGACTTCTGACTTTTTTTCTTATTTCTTGGTCTGCATACCCCCAGCACTGCAAGGGTCAAGTGCTTGTTTTTGTCAAGGTGCTAAAAACCACAATTATATATCCTGTATAATAATAGTGTCACACAGATTGAAAGTGAGAGAAAATCTTCTCCCTAAAGTCACGGATCAGAATAAAAACCGGACCGTTCTAACCTTTTCCATTAGGTGTGTTCTTCATTTCCTTTATTTGTCCTCCTTTGAACCAACAATGAAAGCTCATTTCAATTGTGTATTTATCTGTTTTACCTGCCAAAGAACTTGTAATTGTTCTCAGTCTCCAGGTGTATGCATTCCCTGCCAGACATCATATCCTGGTCAGTGTCCTCACATTTCTCCTGTGCAGTTAAGCTATGACATAAAACCCACTTCCAATCTTCTAAGTTTTATTGAAACACCTAACACAGACACTCCATTCTGCTTTTCTCCTCTGCCTTCCGCCCCCTGCTGGCGCTTCGTTGTAGATGGACTTTAGTTGTAGTTCAGTTATAGTTTTAAGTAAGAGACAAACAAATTAAGGCCTAACTCCAGCTTTTCTACACCTTTTAAAAATCCTAGCAGGAAAAGGCTTTTATTGCAGAATAGACTCTGTATGTCTGTTCGACTATAAATCCTACTTGTCTTTCTGCTAACAAGTTAGCATAGTCACAGATCCATGCCCAATCTCGGCATGCCTTGGTGCTGAGATTTATGAACTCCCATGCACATGTGTGGGAGTTAAGTCATCGCAGGCCAGCCAAACAAGTGGCCAAAAATGCCAAACCCGGAGGACGGCCAGGCAAAGATGTCAGTGTGGACAAAGGAGCATGTGCATGTGGCATTTTCTAGAGGGAAGGTAAGTACTGGGAGCTTTAGTTCTGCTTAAGGGCTTGTTCACACCGAATGCAGACCAGATCTGCATGAGGTTATTTTTCTGTGTGCCTAAAATGAGCTTTCAGTGCATTCTAGTGTATTTTGGTGCGTTCCAGAGCAGAAAAAATAGGGCATGCTAGTTTTTCCACATGCTCTGGATGCTGAATGCTGCCGTGTGAACTAGAGCCCCAAATACCATTGGAATACATTGAACGCAGTTTTGATGCGTTCTGTAACTGCTCTGCATCTGCTCCGCACTTGGTGTGAACAAGCCCTAGAGCAGTTACAGTAACATTTTTTTTTTTTTTTCTGTTGTAAAATTGTTTTAAACCATATGGAAGAAATCGGAACATAACGCACCTTATCTTGCCGGCACCATCATCCTTCTCCCTAGCTTCTTCCGGGTGCCAGGTTTTTGGCTGGAGGCGGGTGGCGTAAGTTCTGCGCATACGTACAGGCGTTCATTCATCCCAGCACAGAGGTGTGCCGAGAATGTCACCCTGAGCTGCGCATGCAGAGCTCTGTGTACATTCTACAACAGATTGCGTACAGGCCGGTACATTTATTTTGTGGCAGAAGGGACGTAGCATGTGGATAGCAATAAAGTGCCTTCCTGCTTCAAAGTTTAAAGCTGGCCATTGTAGGCCATTGCAGTGTTTTGTTCCAATTGCCACTTTTTCTGGACAGCATGGCCTGCATGTAAATCTGGATACAAATATAAATAAAGGCATGTGACAGTAGAAATCATTGAATGTTCTTTTTGGGTATTGACCATATATAGTTAGCAGAAAACAATATTTTCCGTATAGTTGTCCTTTAAGCCTCTGTACATAGTATTTCCCCTTGCTACTAAAGAATTGTGCTGCTCTCCCTGCCAGGGACATTACAGGTGAAATATATCACTGTCCAGATAGTTGTAAAGGGGAAGGAGAAAGGCTTGATGAAGGCGTCAGAAAAACTGCCTTGTAATGGCTCGGTAAACCCATTTAAATTGATCTTAGATCTTCGCTGTCACTTGTCTAAGTAAGCCTTTTGTTCTTGTTTCCAGGAATTCTCTGGTCCAGGTGCTGCTGATAAGCTGCGGAATCGCCGTGATGACAGTGCTCTCGTTAACAGTGGAATGAATAGAATGCAGCCCTTGTCAAAGAGAAGAGCACCTGTTACTGATGTACATTTTGTGGCATGGACTGTCTCCATCCAGAAATGGGTCCCTGGCCTGTGTGCCCTAATGGTACAGTCGTCTGCTGGACTTCCTTCGCATTATTCCGCATTGACCGCCAAAAGAAGACTAGGTCACCGAAATGGGCATTGTACATCCACGTTCGGTACACTCTCTATTTTCGGAGGTCTTTTATCATTTTTCCAATGCAGCTGGCAGATGCTTGGCTTCTATACAATGCCAGTAGATAGTCCAGATGCATCCACCAGCTGTTTTCTAAATGCTCGTTTTTGTTGCTTTTACTGTCTATGTGCTTATGTGTCTTGTCTAAAGTTGGCCACACATGCAGCTTTGAACAAAATGACTTGTGATTACTGGGATGTTATGAGCGTAACAAGCAGCCACCTTGTAAAAGAAACTGGGAGGGAGCAGCAAAAGGTAGCGCTTGATGCAGATTCGTAGCTCCACCGCCAGCTGCTGGTGCTATGGTTGCAGGGGACCCGACCTAGTCACTGAAGTGTAAATTGCAAGTGAAAGATGCTGCTTCACTCCTTCAATAAGCTTTATTCTACAACTGTGCATTACAAATAACGCTGCCCGTCAGACCCTGCAACTCCTCCAACACACTGTTCTCAGTGCAATAAAGCTTATTGAAGAAGAGAACAAAAGAAAATTGGTGGTGATGTGGCTTCCCCCCCCCCCATCAATTAACACATCTGAAGAAATAGATATATTCCAATGCTCTTCACAAGTATTTGGAAGAAGAATAGTCTGAAGTGGGCTTGGACCTAGTGACTTCTATGGTGGCTCTTCAGTCCTTTTCAGGGCAGGAGGTTCTTGGGGGTCTTTCCAGCCTAACCAAAACATTGGTGCATGTGTGACCATCTTAAGAGTCAGTCCACCCAGAACAGATTTCTGATTTTTGAGTAGATGTGTCATGCTCAGCAAAAATAGAATGAACTATGCTTCCAATGTGTCGGAGATGGGATCTAAAGAAGGGGGAACCCCCTACACAAGTGAAACCTATGCATCCAGCTAGTGTTCAACCCCAGCGATCTGCATCCAGAAATCAGTATTGGGTGGCGCTGCACTTTACTTCTGTTTTGTTTTTTCTTATGTGCATTTCTATTTCTGTTTCCATCTTCATAGTGTGTATTATAAGTGTTGCAGAGAATGTTACTGGGTAAGCCTGCGCAGAGTACTAAACGGACCAGACGGTTCTGGCAGCACCAGACAAGAGATGTTATATTTTTTAATGATTGTTATATCCTGTTCGCACAAACGGGAAACTAACTTGGTTAGTTACTGTTACAGATTTTATACACAGAACCACTGGTGACTTTATATTAACAATTTGTTTTGTTTCCTCATAAGCAATAATAGCGGGAAAGGAGGTGAGCTTTACGGTTGCCAGTTTAGAAAAGCCATGTAACGGTTCACACACACACCGATCTTACAGGGGATCTATGGCTTTTGTCTTGTTTAAATTCATACCAGCAACAAAATACATGTTTGCTGCTATACACTTGCTGCACAAAAGTGCCTACTTGCTGCGAGAACAGTGGTATGCAGTATCCGGACCTTCAGCTGTACTTCAGTCTTTGCTTTCCTCCACTCCAGTTTTTGAACAAGAGATGATTGTGGTTCTATAATGTATATGGAGGCAAGGTAAAGGATCTTTCATTATGTAAACATACAGCTACATCCATATTGCAATATTATTGCCTGCTAATTGATCTGCGTCACAATGCCAGCACCAACTGTGAAAGTTGGAGGTTATGTGACGGGAGAAAGCATAGACATACGGAAGTTATGAAGAAGCACAGTGACTATGCAGAGGCATTTTAGCTGACTCAGCTTTCGGTCCAGCTAGTGCATACTTACTTGTGCTGATTCAGTTAGGGCTAGTTCACACCAAGCGCAGAGCAGGTGCAGATGAGTTACAGACCGGATCAAAACTGCAGCCAATGTATTCCAATGGTATTTTGGGCTCTAGTTCACACCGCAGCATTCAGTTCCAGATCATGTAAAAAAAAAAACTGCAGCAAGCCCTATTTTTCCTGCTCTGGAACGCATGCAGGCGCATCTGGAACACATTGAAAGCCCATTTTAGGCTAAAAAAATATATATATTTTGTTTTAAAAAAAAACGGCCCGGAACGCAGCAAGAACGCTGCACGTGCAGATCTGGTCTGGTTTGTGTGAACAAGCCCTTTAGGCAGCACAAGGAAAACAGTAAAAGTTCAGAACACTAAGAAGAGCCAATCAGTATTTTCCTTTACAGCTGATTTCAGAGGAAATGTATTCCAGTAAAGGACGGGTCCTCCTTAAGTCTGCAGCACGCAGAAATAAAGTGGAGGTTTTGCCCGCATGAACAAATCAGGTTTCTGCCTTTTTAATGCAGGTTAATACACACAAGCTGGAATCTAGTTTGGGCACAATGAAAATACCTTCACTTTTGCTTTCCTCCACGGTTAATAAAGGACCACATGTCGGATACTTATATGAGTACAGCATTTAGGGAACTTTTAGGAGTCAGTCTATAAAAAAAAAAAAAAAAGACTTGAACTTGCTATATATCCAGCAAAACTGCATTTACATTCGTTCTGTGCAAATTAATGAAAATGGGGCAAAATCAAATGTTTTAGCTGCAATTTTCTTTTCTGGACAAAAGTTCCTCAAATATGGGCAGCATGGTTCATTCATAAAGAACATTGGAGTGAATGGGCCACCAGATGGAACTGAGGATCAAAGGAAATAAATACATCATAGTAACAAGAGATACAATGTAACAATTCTAGAGAACGCTGGAGGGAAGTGGCAAATAAATGTAACCGTTGCTACTAACATTCCATTTTTGCCACTTTCCCTCAACAGCTGGATAATTCACACAGACCAAATGTACACGGATTTTACCTGGATGAGTAACTTTCATTCTTTTTATTAATAAATAGACCAATGACTGTTCTTCCTACCTAAATATTACCTCCAATAGTGTACTAATACATTTGTTTTTACAGACCCTTATTGTTGCTTGCAGAAATCTGATTTTTCCTTTCCTTCTATCAGTGCTGTATGGGAAAAGGGAGAGGCTGGTTAGTATTTTTGAATGCAATAGAACCGTTCCACACTGTACATGCTTAGCTGGACACTCTGTTAAAAGTGACACTAAACTCAGGAGTTAAATCTTACAAATGCATGGGGAACAAAAGTAGCCCCCCTCCAGAAGGAAGGATGGTGTCAGCACAAAGTCAGAGATGATTGGAGGATATACAGCCGAGTGATACACAAATAAGATACATTGTTGTTCATAGTTAAGGGACTCGAATACATTTTTAAGATTTACCTCCTGAGTTTAGTGTCACTTTAAAGTTTTAACTCCGTACACTTTGCGATGTGCCGCAGTGCATGAGCCGCGAGGAGAAAAGTCAGAACAGAACAGTTCCATTTTGGGAACAAGCAAGGACCCCTTTACCAGAGCATCACATGAGCATGTTGTCTCAATATTGGGGATGCTGCTGAACCCCAAAACTTCAACTGTTTACGTTGGTGGATTTCTACCACTTTTAAAGCAGTATTAAACGTGCAAACTTTTTTTTTTTAAACAAATATACTTGGCCAAGCAATTACAGTCGTCGTGTTACCAAACAGCTCCAACTCTCGCTCAGCTTCCCTGAACTTCCTGTCCATTACAAGTTCACGAGGGACAGCAGTCGTCCATCTACTAGTTTGGAGAAGGGGGAGCAGGGGGGAGGGGAGTAAATTGCCTTGCTGTGTCTATTTATTTTGTGGAGACATACACAGCTTACTAGCACACACACGGGTAGCTGCATCGGACCCTGCAAGGGAAAGGAGCCATCCTATAACAGGATACCAGTGCCAGTGTTCAGGGGACCAGCTGAGTGTGCCAGAACCCAAAACTTTCAAACCTCAAGAAGCAGCATTCATTGTAAGTGATTGAATAATTTGCAATAGCTTGAAAACTTTTTGACTGATATCATTTTAAGACTTTTCTTGCACCTCGCGTCTTGTGCACTGATGCACATCCTGATTAATGGACTGTCCCGTTCAGGATATACACTTCGGGATGGTTCTATTCTATTCAGTGCGGCTTTTCTTTTTCCTTGTCACTTTTTATATTGAGGATCATTGTTTCAGAAATCAAACCCGGAACCTTTTGTATCAATAGTGTCTACCCTGATCATTGTGAACGACTGCAGCATTGGTAGCCATTTTTGGATGGTCATTGTGCGTTGAGGAAAATTGGCATTTTTAATATTGAGGGTTTTTTTGGTACAATTCCACTATTTTTATTTTCAGTATTAATTTTTTTGAGTTGTGACTAAAAATATCAATATTTTTTTGTTTGGTTTTTTTTTTTAATGCAATTTTTATTCAGCGGGAAATGTGGATATCGGAGGCTGGAAAAATAATTGACCAGGACATGCCCACATTCTAGAAACATCTTCGTATTCACAGGGATTTAAGTCTAGTATGAAGTACAGGTAGGGAGGGTTCAGGTAATGCTTTCCTCCCAAAAAGTGTAAATTGCAGGTCTTCTTTTTTTCCTCCTGGGGCATTTACTTTAAAGAGAGCCTGTCAGATCTCTATGGAAATAAAAGCAGGAGTCTCTTGCCACAGGTAGATATTTACCACTCCAGCAGCCTGTGTCTTCTACCTCCCTTCTGGTTCAGCGCTGCAGCCCACACCAAGGAATGCCACTGTTCCTTCCTACTTTGCTTTTTATATCCTGTAGTCACATAGAGAAGTAAGCTATGGTGCAAGGTGGGGGGACACGGGCATCCTAAAATTCAAGAAGTGTTGAACACCAAATAGAATGATGGAGGTTGGAACAGAGTGGAGGTAGGAGACCTGAGCTGCTGGAAAGGTGAGTATTCTTCCCCTTTTATTGCAGTGAACTACTGGTTTTAGTTCTTTAGAAACTTGACAGGGCCCCTTGTGGTCCGCCATTCAAAGATGACAAGTCCTCAGTAATCTGTTTCCTTTTGGAAAGGTTTACTTGTCATATATGCTCCAGGAAGCATTGTCTGAGGTATCCCACCCTGTACTTTGTACTCCAGTTAAGTCACTTTTGTGTGATGCTCCGCAGGTTGGACAAAATCCACCCAGATCATGAGGCCCAGTAGGGCAAATCACACTCCACAGGTTGTTGTTCAAGTTCAGCGCAGTTCATGTAATGAATTAAACAATCCTGCTGCAAGAGGAAGTGCATTAAATTGCAATCCTCCTGTAAAGGAAGAAGTTGAATGCTTGCCTTTCCAGCATGTGGTCAGTCAGATCTCGCTTGAAGAGCTACTTGGGAGTTCCTGGTGTCCGACACTTCT